CAAACAAATGTCCTATGGGGGTAACTCTCCTACTCATTAGCCCTTGTCTTTGGTTGAAGCTATGAACTTCAAAAGAGCACTAACAAAAACATAACAATCTCAAATCTCAAACTCTCAATGTTTGTGTGAAAGTCTGAATCTGGGTTGGGTTAGATATCTGATGAACTGATTCCCCATCCTATGAAAATTCCTTAACTAAAGAAAGTAGAAATTTAAGATATTCCTTTTAAGTTGCATGAGGCCCTGAAGAAAACCTATTGAAAAAAAAAGAGAATTCTAAAATCACACACATGGTGCTCACTTCGGCAGCACATATATTAAAATCACACACACACACACACACACACACACACACACACACAAGTCTAAAGCAATGGAGATTCAGGAAAGAGTTTTCCACTCTTTTTCTCTTGATATTATATTTTTTTTTTTTGTAGATTCCAGTGAGAATTATTTTCTGAATCTCTTTTCTTAACTAATTCTTTGGGGGCAGCACACTGCCCTTCTTGGCCAGCTGGACTTCCTGGGCACATGGGTTGTTGGGAATTGGTAGAAAGCACATATACTGGGCCATGCAAGAACATGAATGGTGGTGGTTGGGAGGGGCAGGCTGGGCTTGACTTCAGAATCCAATTGTATTATATATATATATAATGTATTTTTTATTTTACATGTCAATCGAACATAAAAGAGGAAGCCATTATTGGTTTGAAGAGAAAACTGAACCTAAAGAAAGGTCTAGAAACCTACAAGACTGCTGCCAACTAACAATTTGAGCAACTGTTGAAAGGCTACCATAAGTGCCCTTCCGGGATAGTGAGATCAACAACTAACTTATCCACCATCATGGAGCCCTCATCTAGTACCTTTTGGAAACAGAAACAGAAACAGAAACAAACAGAAACAGAAACAGAAATATAGTAACTCTTAGTAGGACTGTGTTTAGAAGAGAAAGAAGTTTTCTCTAGGGTAGGGTGTGGCCATTCATCATGACAACCCTAGAATGTCACAGGCTCAGGACATAGTGTCCTCCATAAAGCAGGTGGGCAATAAGACAATGCTGATTATCATGACAAAATGATCCTGTGTTCATTATGTGATGGTCGTTATGTTTCACGTGAATTAATAAGTTTCATCCCTCATATTGCAATCCTATAATGTAGGAATACTTCTAACCTGTGTTATAGTCAATGAGACAGTTTAAGTAACTTGTAGTTACTCAGTTCATATGTAGTAGTCAGAACTTAAATGTGCAGTTCATTTGCACATAAATAAAAACCAAATACAAATCTCAGGTGAAGACTTTTGAAACAATTAAATGATATGATAAACATTATGGCTAAAAGTGTGTGGGGGTAGAGGAGAAGGAGGAGGAGGAGAAAGAAGAAGAAGAAGAAGAAGAAGAGGAGGAGGAGGAGGAGAGATGCTATCAAAAGTCTCCTTTTGAAATTAAAATTAAATAATTAAGAGCTGGTGTGATGTTATGTTAGCAGGTAAAGACTCCTGCTGCTAAGACTAATAACCCAAGTTTGCTCACTGGGACCACTACTATGGAGGGATAGAAATGACTCCTGCAAATTGTCTTCTGATCTCCACATTGGAGACACGGCATCCCACTCCTGCCTGTACCCAATAAAATAAAATGTAATAAAAATGAAATCATTGAATATCAGAACTATCTTTTTTATACTACCAGTCTGACATATTTCCCAGGAATATAAATATTTATATGTCAACAAAGATCTCCAAGTTCCAACTGGAAGAAATATCTAAAGTTATCCATTTACTTTTGGATTAGGTTTGTGTGGACATAAAAAGCTCAAGTTGAAACAACCACCCTGGGAAATAATTGTAACACAATGAAACAAAAAAGAGTAAATAGCAGTTTACAAAAAGTTCTTGAAATTAAGAATATGAAACCACACAACTCCAAAGAAAAATAGCTTAAAAACACAAATGCTAATTCTTAAAAAGAAAAAAATAATAAGGCATAAAGTCACAAAAGAAGTTTGGACTCACTGATAAATGAGTAAATAAGTAAAATTACTTCATTTGACACATGTTCTTTTAAGAAAATAGTTATTTCACGATACACCTTATTCTTTGACTTGAAAATGTTCTTAGAATCTACAGAAAGATGATCACTTATATAATTCTTTGTCATACTAAAAACTGGAAATATCCAATAAGTTGTGTGTAAAATATATTTTAGTTGAGAAAAAGTTTACTTACAAGTTCACTTAATTATTTTTTTCATATTCATACATGTACATAATGCATTTTAATTAAATCTACATTCCAATCCTTCCCCCCTAATTCCCCAAGCCACTTTCCCCTTATAACTTCATGTGTTCTCTTTTAAAACCCATTGAATTCACTTAATGCCATCTGCATATGTTTGGGTCTAGGACCATCTACTGGAGCATGGGTAGCCTTTTTGGGACTGCATCCTTGAAAACAGACTGTCCTTACCTTAGCAATCATCAATTGCTAGTAGCCTTTCGGCTAGGAATGGGATTGCACAAGTCTCTCCTCTATCTGTGCCAGGATTTGGCACTGGCTTGATATCATGCAGGTCTTGTGCATGCTGTCACAACCACTGGGAGTTCATGTGTGCAAAAGTCCCACCATGTCCAGCAAATGTTTCACTGCTGGGGTTTACTACTTCTAGCTCTTAAAATCTTCCCATCCTTTCTTCCTCACTGACCCCTGAGCCTTGGAGGGGAGGGGGTATGACATAGATATCCCGATGAAAGTTGAGCATGCCATTATCTCTTATTCTCTGCACACTGACCAGTTGTAGATCTCTGTATTAATTACCATCTAGTATGTGTGTGTGTGTGTGGGGAGCTTCTCTGATGAGCAATGAAAGATGCACTCATTTAAGTGGGTATACAGATATTCAGATAAGCAAGTTAGTGCAATGGAAGGGAAAGGTTACAAAGGACATATGCCAGACTGTCAAAATGGAGGGAAGAATTAAATGGGCTAGTTCATGTGTGTGTTGTGCTTGCGTGTTTGTGGTGTGTGTGTGTGTGTGTGTGTGTGTGTGTGTGTGTGCGCGTATGTGTGCGCGCGCGTGTGATTTTATTCTTTTTTTTTAAGTTTTGATAATGTTGGGAATTCATGAATGAAATTATTTTCAAAGAAGGAGACATTCTCTTCCTTAATAATTAATCATAAATATAAAAATCTTGGATCCTCTCTCTCCCTCCCTCTCTCTCTCTCTCTCTCTCTCTCTCTCTCTCTCTCTCTCTCTCTCTCTCTCTCTCTCTCTGTGTGTGTGTGTGTGCTTACTAGGATTGAACCCAGGCCTTGCACCTGTTAGGCAAGCACCATACCTCTGGGTGACAAGCCCAACCCTTCTTGTATTTTATGTTTGAGACCAAGTCTCACCAAGTTTCCCAAGCCAGCCCTCACTCATACTGTAGACCAAACAGGCCTCCTGCCTCAGTTTCCTGAGTATTTGAGATTACAGGCATATAATACCATGTATGTATGGCCAACAAATCTTAGATTTCCTATGAATTTGTCCAGATATTGAAAATATATTACAATACCTTTAAGATCCCCACACTGTAGCAAAATGTACAAGTGTAAAATCTTTTATATACTGGCAAGCAAGAAAGAAATAAAAAGCACTCAAAACTCAGTCCTTACCATGAAGTAAACTAGCTGTGCCCTACTACATAATGGCTCTTGCCAACTGCTTTGTTTCTTGTTTATTTCTATTCTTTATATAAAATTTTGAGTACCATGAGGAAAACAATGGCACTGTTAATTTATCTAGGAATAGAAAACAATTCTGTCTCTCTCTCAGTCTCTCTCTCTCTCTCAGTCTCTCTCTCTCTCTCTCTCTCTCACACACACACACACACCCATGCCACATACACACAGAGTTGTTTATTGTTTATTCTTTGTGTAGCCCTGGCTGTCCTGAAACTCACTCTGTAGATCAGGCTGGCCTCAAACTCACAGAGACCTGCATGCCTCTGCTTCCTGAGTGCTGGGATTAAAGGCATGACCAACACTGTCAGTCAACACAGAGAATTTTTAACATGTGTCCAAATCAAAACATGATCCTAATGTACATTAACTGATACAAGAATGACTAAAGTATAGCCCAACCATATAGTGGAATATTATTTGGAAAAATGAGAACAGTGAAGTACTGATGCATGTTGTAGCATGAATGAACATTGTACATAGTGAAAGAAGCCAGTCACAACATAGCACTAATCATGTGGTCACATTTATATGGAGTTGCAGAAAGGCTAAATGTGTAGAGACAAAAGTAGTTTAGTAGTTCTTGGGGCTGTGGAAAAGGTGGGTAAGATTGGGAAGTTAAATGACTTCTGTTTTTCTTTCTAAAGATGTGTTTTTACTTTTATGTGTGTGAATGTATGCCTTATGAGTGTAGGTGTCTGCAGAGGTCAGAAGGTGGCGTGGGATCCTCTGGAGCTGGAGTCACAGATGATTATGAGCTGCTCAGTATGGGTGCTAGCAATCAAACTCTGCTCCTCTGTAAGAACAGGAAGTGCCCGATCACTAAGCCATCTCTCTAGCCTTGCTAAGAGACTCCTAATGAGTACAAAGTGACTTTTGGACTTGAGGGAAATGTTTTAATATTGATTATAGTGATTATCACATAACTCTGAAACTTCTCAGAACCAAGGAATTGCGCACTTTTAGTGGGTCCCTCTTACCATGATGCAGATAACAGCTTAGGGAGAATCTCTTTAGTCTCATGTGCTCTTCACTACAGCAGCAGTGGCCGCACTAGAGAAGACCTCTAGACAACTCACCTTTCTCCTTTGGGTCCTAATTCTTCCTGCATCTCTATGCTCCCTGAGATCCACCCCCGGAAGAAACTTGGTTGGTGGTCACTCTTTTCATAAAGATTTTTCTCCCTTTCCAATGTACTTTGAACCTATTTTAGGGATACCTTACTTGAAACAGGAGCACACAAACTAAAATAAAACACAAATATCAGTACATACCTTCAATGATGTGCTTTCTTGACAACCCTCTTTCTGTTTCAGCTCTGCAACAAAAAAGAGGTAGGTGACTTTGGCTGGGGAATGCTGTTTTATTTTCTAAAAAGAGTTTCAAAATGAAGAATAACAATCATTCTTTTCTAAACTTTCTTTTTATTTATTCTTTCCATCTTTTACATTATGCCTACCGATCCCACCTGTCTCCCCCATCTCAGATAAAACAAAATAAAATTTAAGAGAAAAATGGGGTGGAGAAAGAATCTCGTCATGGAAGCTGCAGTGGGACACAGGGAGTCACTCAGTAAATTCCTTTATCCTTACATTTTTACATGAAGGTATTCGTTGTAAAGAATCATTGGTCTCGGTCTCTGCTACCTGCACTGACCCTGCCACCTGTGGTGGGTAAGGGACCTGACCCTCCCCCCTACTAACTGCAGCACTTGGGAAAGTGGACCCTGCACCTAGCCTGAGCAACATAGTAGAGCTAATCCTATTGGCTGAGGTGTGAGTGACCCAGTTCTGATGCATTGGAGAGTTGTCCCCATTTATTCACCTGTCATGTGGCAGCATTGGCAGGGGATAGGTGCCCCCTTCCCCATCAATGCCTGAGGCAAGTGGAAGAACTGTCCCTGAGGTCATAGGAGCAGGAAAGCTATCCCTCCCCCTTATCATCTGCAATACTTGGGAGAGTGGCTCCTACACCTTGCCTGGATAACACAGTAGACTGACTCTAAAAGTATGGGTGTGGGAGGAACCATCCTACGATGTGATGTGAAAGCTGGAGAACTGATCCCTACTTCTTGTTCATCACTGCAAGGGATGAACCAGCCAGGGTATTGCTGGAACATACCCTGGTGGTGAAGATATGGGAGAGATGGTGTCATGGACCAAGCATGCAACTACCTAGGTCCAGAACCAAGGTTTTGTGTTGACCCACCCCAACATCTACCCAATATGTGATCTGCTGGAGCACAAGGTGGAGAGAGGCAGGCATGTGCTGGGAGTTGTGGGGTGTGTGTCCATCCGTCTTGCACACCCAGGGCTGCAGGATCTCCATGAGACAGGGTGGCAATGGGATGTGCAGAAAGAGTCCCAGTGAGGGCCCATAATCATTCTTTCTTTGTCTACACTGCAAAGATTTTACCATGTATTCTGCCAGTCCTGCACTACTGGCTATAGAGAAAGCTGGTGGACAGCACCCCAAGTGTGGAGACCCTAAGAGATGTGGCCAGGCTGTTGATATCACTCAGCTCCAGGCTAAGTTACCAATCAGCTGTGCACATCCTTGACTTAGAGAACACAACACACAGTTCAATCTTCTAGCCTTGTTCCTAGCCAATCTAGAGAAGAAAAATAGTCTTTTCATAAGTTCATAGGTTTACTCTATGGTGGAGAAACCCAATGATACTAAATTTTTGGATAAAGCAAATTTTAAAGCATTGTTTGACAATGAAAACAATTTAACAATGATTAAAAGAAAGATGCAACAAACTTTCCTTAAATTAGCACACAAGGGGACAAGACAAGCCTTTAATGGCAGTGCTTCTGTTATTCCAGAAAAATCCTAAAGTCTGGGCAAGCAGAAAGGATGTGGTGGCTGACTTAAGTATTGATGAGGTATTCCTTCAACATCAATACTTTGGACAGCTTCTACAAACATGCATGTTGACATTCATCTGTTTAATGTATCTATTCCAAGATTTTTTACAAGTATATCAGTTAATATTGTGTATAACTCTGCTACATAGTGGCTCTTTTAGCTGGTCTCATTTCTGGCTTATTTTCACCCTCAAGTTAAGATTTCATGTACCAGTGCAAACAAAGGAACCAGGAATTGAGGAGATCATGAGAGAATGGGCACCTGTATTATAGACATCATATTATCTAAAAAGGGGACAATCAGAATAAAAATCTAGATTATGTCTTTATGTCTTCAAATCTTTAACAAGCTTAAGGTTCATAACAGTGTGATCATGCATGTGTATATATATGAATTGTGATTAGGTCTTCCTAAAGACCTCCTATTTTAAAACAAACACTGATGACAACAACATTAATCAAAGAGAAAAAGATACTTTTCTGTTTCACCCTACCTATTTGAGGGTGGTCAATAAGGTTTTAGTGGTTTCTGGTTTGTTGTCATTGTTGTTAGGTTCCTGGCATCTTTGAGATTTCTACAAGAAGCACAGGCCAACCATTGCTCTGGCATGAGGACCAGCTTGCTGTTTTCTTACATGTTTGGTAGAAACAGCCAGCTCCCTGATTCTTGCTGAATAATGTAAGCACCAGTTCAAACACTAACAGGCTGCTTCATCAGAAGCCAGCACAGCTTGTGGTTCATTCTGCATCCAACAACACTGAGAGGGCTTCTCTTTCATTTGTTCTGCCGGCGAGTGACATGGTGATAGTGTCCCTTATCCCCCAATGTGACGGTCTCTTTGATCAGTACTCTCAGAACCCTCCACAGAAATGATCAGAGATTTGAACCTGGAGGCCAACAGGATATTTTTATCTTTGCATTCCGTGCAAATCTTGAGTTTTGGCAGATTTGAGGAGCTTTTCTTTTGTGATGCTTTATTCTCTTTTCCTAAATTTTGAACTCTGTTTTGGAAATGGTTCTAAGTACGACACTGAAAAGTCTATACCAGTCATTTAGTAACAGGTGGCCACCTGCTATGCACTAAATTTCTTTGAGATTACAATGTTGAAGTGTAGTCTTAGGCTAATTACAATTTCTTTACCACAAGAGAAAAGAAAACCCTATAAGCTAGTTGATTTTAATACGAGGTAAATGTAAAAAATGATTGTTAAGACAATAAAAAGGAAAAAGTACAAATTGCTAGTCATTTCTCATCTCACAGAAAAATAAAATAATAAATGGTGCTTAACTTACTTTCCACCCCAGTAGAGTTTGGTTGTGATGACCAAGCTGGACCTCCTATACATCAAACAGACACAAAGAAATCATAGATCATTGTGGGTTGTTGATGAATTGAATTATTATTATATCACCAGGAGGAATTTGTGGTAGTACCTCACATTAAAAAAGAAGGTGGAGATGGAGTTCTGAACGCGCAGCCCCAAAATGTAAGAACAAGGGAAACTGGTGAGTTGTGACTTGAAGTCAGACACTAGAAGAGACTGAAGGGAAGTAATTTTTGCAGGGAACTCTGAAGGAGAAGGGATGCCCAGCACACTTGTGAATGGTTTTGCAATGTGTACTGAGTGGGAGGGAGGTGATCTTGGAGGTCAGAGATAGTGCCTGAGAATGTAGGTGACATACAGAATGAGTTGTGTTGGTAGCTCAGGAGAGCAGCCACTAATTAACACTTATTTAGAATCTGGCATGATGTTCATTGCCTGTGAACCTTTCCTGGGAGGAAGCCTCCTCTCTGCCAAGGACCATGGGCCCAAGTGGCTCCTAGTTATTATCTTATCCAATCATCACACTAACTATGTAGAAATAGGAATGATGAGCTAAAGCCTCATACTTAGTAAATGCTTTAAATCCTCTACCAAATGTCCTATCACTTTACTGCAAAGTGATGAAATATGAAAATCATGTCAGCAAACTGGTTACCTACTCAGAAGCCCCACTCAAGGGCAGCAAATGCCCTTGTTGTATTGTGATCCGGAAGAACTGTCCTTTGAGAACTACAGAGATATAATCTAAACTTGTGAGACAGCAAGAGCTCAGTGCACTTTGGTTCAGAATAAAATCTTTTGAGATTCAAAGATTAAGACCAAACTTCAGAATTATTAGAAATACAGGACATTTATAATTCTGTCAGCTGCAGAGTTGATACCTTAAAGCTCTTGGGCATAAAAGGCCTCCATGATTAATGGTGACCAGTGGGGAATGATAAGGATAATTCTGACAACTTGGTGGCAAAATGAAATTTTTTTTTTAAAACTTTGGCCTCTCCATCCCACTAAGGCAATTCCCTGAAGAGTAATTTGAGTTACAGAAATGGAAGAGCTGTGGATATAAGATCCTGGGGATTGCATACTTCAAAAGGACTACATAACACACCCACTTTCCACCCATGATAATAAGAGTCTGCATTGGGGAGCCAGGTCTTCTTTAGCAAACACTTTCTACTTTCCAAAAAATAAAGATGTTAGGAATATTATTAAAAAATAAACATAAGCCCCTTGGATTATCCAGACCAAATAATATGCTAAAGCTGCACATTCTATCAAAATAATGAAGTTAGATTCTCTACCAAACTGTCTGTCCTATGTGGGTATGTACACTAGCATTTATGCTCAGGTGGCAAGATTAGACTAAAACCTGGCAAATTATCCCTGAGCCATAGAAGCTCTCAGAGTAACTGTTCTGGGTGGTGGAGAAAGATTGAGTGAGTGTGATACAGCAAGATGGCACCGTCTCTCAAAGGCTTTGCTTCCCTCTCACTTGGCCATCAAGGCATCCTAGCAGCCATTTTGTAGTTAGGAAAATCAAGGCTCAGAGAATTGAAATCGCTTTCTCTGGACATCAATGCTAACAAGGACAAGAAGCCAAGCCAGCTAATTGAACATGCTAGGATGGCATGGTTTGTTTATCTTCTCTCCAATTTCCTCCTGGAGGCAAATGTGAGCCTTACAAACTTTTCATAGCATAGTAGTAGCTTGAGCTGTTATCTGCTAGGCTGAAAGGTGACTTGTGAAACATTCATACCAATCTATTTTCCATAAAGTATGCATGAATATGTTCTGCAATTAAGGAGGGTGAATCAATGCCTACTGAAGGAAAACCTCTGTTTCTCTTTCTTCATGGACAGGAGCAAGGAGACCACCTTGCTGTTGGTCTTGCTTTGCTATGTTTCATAACACCCCAAATGTCATGCAACCCTCATTGCCACTTGCTTTATGGGATGGGTGAACACAATCTTTGCATTTCTTGGAGCCCTCAAGGATAGCAGATACTTCTCTGAGTACTCAGGGAGTAGAGCTCCAAGCACCCAGGACAGATGCTGGCAATTGTTAGATGACACAGCTTTCGGCAATTATCCTAAGGGTTTTTTGTTTCATCATTTCTTTGTACAGAGAGCTGTTAATAAAATGAGTGGTGCACATAAATCTATGTATCTAGATAGTTTCCTGTAGCTTGCGCCTTCACTAATTACAAGTGTAATCAAAGCTATGCGAAAGTCATGTTCTTTTATTCACAAATATCTCATGCACCATCCCTCTTCTCTGTCAGACCCTGTCATGACTCACTGCTATGTAACGGCTATGTAATTTTTGAAGTACAAATAATGAAGTCTCTGGCATTTATTTCTAAACTACTAAGTGTTGGTTACTTCTGGGGGCAACCTTTTCTTCTAGTCCTATATAATTTTGTTTTTGCTTTTCTGGTGCATAAAAGACAAACACAAACAGTTATGGTAGACGTGATACCTCCAGCCTTTCTTCTTGATGATGTTTCCCAGAATCACCTCGGCCCTGAAGGGGGAGAAGACAAAGTCTTAGACTGCAGTGTCTCAGAAAAGCAAGAGTCAACCCAGCATCAGAGCCATCCCGATTTTAAACTCTCAGTGCCTACAGAACCCCAAAATAGAAGCTCCCTCAGCTGGTAGCACAGTCTCCACTGTTTCTGCTTGTGCCGGCAGAATCCTGCTCTCAGGCATTCCAGAAGCACCTGCCAAATGCTGGCGCTGGCAGGAGACCGCCTGTGGTCCTGACATAAGAAACAGAGGAGTCATCTGGCAACTTGGCCCCACATAAAAATACCCTACTTTGGTCGATGAATCTATTTCCTCTAGTTTATCTTCTGCAACTAACAATTTGAGCAACCGTGGAAAGGCCACCATAAATGCCCTTCCTGGATAGTGAGATCAACAACTAACTTATCCACCATCATGGAGCCCTCATCTAGTACCTGTTGGAAACAGAAGCAAACACCCATAACTAAACACTGAGTCGAACTAGAATCAAGATGCAGAGGGAGAAGACAAGACCAGGTTGCAGAAACACATAGAGACAGCTGACCCGAACAAGGAGGAGCTAACGGGCCCCAAGACTGATAGCTGGGAATCCAGCATGGGACTGACTCAGACCCCCTGAATATGGTTCTCAGCTAGAAGGACTGAGCAGTCTAAGGGACCTCAGACAGTGGAACCAGGATGTATTTCTGGTGCACAAAAGGACCTTGTGGTCACATCCCCTATGGAGGGACACTCCCTTAACCTAGAGACAGGAGATAAGTCCTAGTCCCTACTTAAAATGACTTGACAGATTTACATGAACCCACCTGGATGGCATTGCCCTACATGTGGAATTGGGGTGGGGATATGGAAGGGGAGAGTGGTCAGGGTGCATGTGAGGGCGGAGAGAGAGGAAGAAAGAGGGAGAGAGGGAGAGAGGGAGAGGGAACTGGGATCGACATGTAAAATTAAAAAAAAAATACCCTACTTTGTGGTGTTCAATAAGAGTCAAGGTTTTTCCATCTAATTGCAGTGGAACAATTTAGTTGTGCCTGGAGGACAAGAGACCTCAGACTGCTTAGACAGAAAATATTGGCTTCTAGGTGATCCTGGAAGAAAAGAAAGAAGCTACATGTGCACTTAAATGTCCCAGGTCCAGCAGTTTAGTGGTCCACATGAAAATGTTCTAGGACTGAGTAAGGTTTGTCAGAAGACTAAGATATAAGGAGACATTACAAAATACCCTTCCTGTTGCTAAGACTGGGTTGTATCTTAATATTCTGTCTCCAGGAAGATTCACCGAGATTGAGGAAACTAAAATGCTTTCTATCCCTCCCAGTGAGACCCTCAGTGTGAGAAGTGGGGTTGCCAGAGTTTGGAGTGGGAAGGGGAGTGCATTTAGCATTTAGTTCATCTGTGAGCCAGATATGGATGCCATTGCTAACTATTATTTTATGGAAACACATGTTGTTTTTATTAGAGGGTACAACCTTTAAGAAATCAGGATGCAGACTAGCTATGGAGAATGCTCCAAATGAACAGACATTGGATGGTATTGGACTCGTTTTCATTTCTTTTTATTTGGCCATTGTTACATGTAATCCTATCTCAATTCCACAGTGACCATCAATCAATAATGATTCAAATGGCTATCACTCACAGTATGAGTTACAATTGAGTCTCTAGCAGACCCAATATGTTCTCTTTTTCTGTCTTGGCCTGTTGGCACTATACGTGATTCAACAGAGGAAACCTCCAGACAAGAGGGTTTGTAGAAGGGAGCAAGGCCCTACAACTTCTACATTCTTTTCCTGGACTCATTATAAACAATGGGGATGTGGAAGCTTAAGTCCCCTGATTTTTCTTAAGCATATACAGGTCCTTGAAAAAGAGGAAAGCAAGTATGAAAGATGCTCTTTGAACACCTAAGTTGGACGGAGCAAGCCCCAGCTCAACTGTAACTTTCCTGAGGGAGGGGCAGTAGGCCTGCTCTGGCCATACTCCACTGTTCCCTGAGAGACCAGCAGGGAGGGATGTCCTTTACTGATGGAAGCCAGGCCAGGAGACCAGGGATCCATACCTATTCTGAAATATACTAGTTATGTTGTGTGGCATATGCTTGGTGGTCTGTCCTGACAGAACATCAGCTATGTGTTCTGATTTAGCAAGCCATGTTTAGAGTGCCAACTCAACACCCAGGTCCAAAGAAAGTCTCTAGAAGTCTCTTCTCAACAGAAGCGAGGTCTCTCTGTAGTCTGCTGTCTCCAGAGTAGGCTCTGAAATGCCCTTCTGTAAAAGTTGTTGATATCTTGGCATTATGTGGGAATCAAGACTTTCATTAATATCAGCACAGGGACGGGAGGTCAAGTAATCAGGTAACACCTATCCATCTCCACCACCATTCCTATGGCACATTTTTCTTGTGTTCATCTCCCTTACAGCCCATTTTTCTTACAGGAATGGTTTGGGTAGACCAAGAGGGTCCCAGGATTCAACACTCTAGTGATGGGGAGGGCTGAGAAAGAGCAGGCACAAGAGAAGCAGCCCCTCCTCACCATTGCCACAGCAATGTCTGGGCACACCCTCTTGCTCGCAGGGATGCCAGGTAATGGACAGAAACTGGTTCTGACTTACTTCCCAGCAGCATAGACCTCAGCAGTGTCAAAGAGATTAACTCCACTTTCATAGGCAATTGTCATCAACCGTTCAGCAACCTGCAAGAGGACGCAAATGTCAGTCAGAAATGCTGGAATAGTTGGGAAGCAATGCTAAATCCTTTATCCACCTTTCACCCTGAGATCCCAATACCGCGTCTCATTTTTTTCTCAGCCAGAGTGAGTGGCAAAAGGAAGTAGACTCAAGCATAGGTGATCTTCTACTCTCAGGCAAAGCAGGCTGAAATCCCACTTCTGTATGTGTGTGTGGGTAGTTGTTAGTTGTCCTCCAAACAGGAGGTATTCAGATCTGTGTTTCCCACCCCTGATGGGAAAACCTTGTTTGATAACACCCTCAGTGACATGTAATCTTGATGACAAAGAGGGTCATTTGTATCAACTCCTTTCTGCAAGCCAATAGCTTCTGGAAGTTGGATGACTCCTGACCTAAAAGCTTGTGACATTCCTGCAGGCCTAGCCAAAGGTGCTGATGAATCACGGGCCAGACATCATGACTGCTGTAAAGCTCCTGGCACCAGCAGTTCAGTGGAACAGTAGGCATCATCTTAGAGCTGCTGCTGAGTCAACACAGGGGAGGGAGGGGGCAAGCCCCTGACTCACTAGGGAACAGTTCCTCTGTGCTCAGGCTGCAACAGATCAGAGTTCCGTGTTCCATGGTGCTGCTCAGAGCAAGTGGGAAGTGTGGCAGGGGCAGGAGTGCAGATGGTTATCTGTAACAATCAGCCCCAGGTGTGGCTGTCAAGCAGCCTTGTGAAGAGCAGCAGCAGTGGAGGAGTCTGTCTTCACTTTGCTTCTTAGTGTACTAGAAGTTTCAAAAATCTCCACTTCCCACGTCAATGATTGCTGTTGATTTTTCATTATTTTCTTTGATTACTGCTTTTCACTTGCTACTATGAAAACATCATTCTCTCTCACTCCCCCACCCTCCCCCCCTTTGGATTTTTGGGACAGGGTTTCTCTGTATTGCTTTGGAGCCTGTCCTGGAACCAGGCTGGCCTCAAACTCACAGAGATCTGCCTGCCTCTGCTTCCCCAGTGCTGGGATTAAAGGCGTGAGCCACCAATGCCCAGATTCAAACATCATCCTTAAACAGAGCTGAAAGTAGAGTGAACATAGTTTCTTTCTTCTGGTTGTTCAATGTTTTTGAAATTATGGTACTTGCAGTGAAAACTATTATGGTATGTCATATAGCATATTGGTGGATTATTATTGGGAAATATAACAATTATATCTTATATACAGAGAAGTTTTGAAATGGATGGACACTTGGAGTGATTGATAGCAGGAATACTTCCCAAGCATAGAATCTGAAGACCTGACCTGGAAATAATGGGAAAAATATTGAATTGGTCTGAACACTGGCTTTAGGCCTTGATACAATTTTTGATCTGAAATGTCTTATGAAAGTCTTTGTGTTTGGTTCCCAGTCTGTAGCATTATTTTCAGAATCTTCAAGAAGTGGGGCCTACTGGTAGGAAGTTAAGTCACTAAGACCCTGCCTTTATTCTTCCCGGTGTGCACTGTCCTCTGTTACACACTAGTCATGATATACTGGCTCACTACAGATCAAAGTCAGGAGAGCCAAAAGAATATGGATCGAAAACCCTGAAACTTTGAGGCAAAATAAACTTTTGTTCCCTAAAAGTGGATTACTTGCGGTCTTTTGTCACTGTTATAGAAAATGAATATAGTCTGTGAATGTCCTTTGTCTCTATAAATACACTTGGACAAATCATTTGGGTTTCACAGATTTCAGTGTTCTTAACTGAAGGGGTTCTATGAAAGATCTCCTTCTCCTAGGGGAAGCTGGTCTCACTTCTTCAACAAGGGCCTAATAGCCTGTGAGCCACATGGACAAGAAAAATCTTGTGAGATATTCACACTAATGAGATTTTGCAGAGAATTTTGGGAATACCTTTCCCTTCTTCACCAAATTTCTAGAAACAGAACTCTTACCCTGTTCTTTTTGAGTCTTAAACATTCTTGTAGCTGTTTCATTCTTACTACCTGAAGAGAAAGTTGACCCCAAGGGCTAAATAGGGCAGAAAGAGTGACTCTCTTCCTATAGCTTAAAGGTCAAAATGAATGTTCTTTTTTTGGTTAAATAGATGTGAGCAGGGTTTAGTGTTACCTGCTATTAAAGCTACTTCAACTACATTACAGATGAGAAAACATGGAATAAATCCCCAAATTCAGAACTGTTTGGATGCTAAAAGAGCTCTCTTAAAAATCATTTTAAAGAAATTATTACTCTTATAAGTACCATATATCTTGGGTTTTATTTGAAAGTCATACTATGGAGTTACTAAGTTTGTTGATATCCATGCTAAATACTTATCCAATATGTTCTTGAAATTTCAGGGAGTAGCACTGATAATTATAGCACACAGCATATTATGGTGTGGTCATTTGTACCACACCTGAGAGCACCTGGAAGTCTGAGAGAAAGCTGGGCAACCAGGGAGGTGAATTCATTGCTATAGGCTTACATTTTTACCTGAAGGGAACAGATGAGATTGAGCCATTTGGTTGTGGGCTTTGGCTCACAGTTGACCCCTCTGCTTACAAGGTCATCTTTGTCTTTTTCCTTCCACAGTGTATCAGGAAGTACCAGGTTGCAGGCTGGAGACCCTAGATTGGGACTTAGTTCCCTTCTAACTTGCTGCTTATTTGGTGTCTAACAGTGCCTGTGTCCTTGGCTGTACTCCCAGTGAAAGTGCCTTTGTACACCTCCATACTTCTTTACCTGATGCCAATCATAAGACCTCTTGATGTGCACCCACATCCTCCTGTAGGAAGGAAGGAAGGACTTCCATAGCTACTGGGAATGCTGCCATTGGAAAGCCTTCTGCTGCCAGCCACCTAAGACTACACTTGGCTGGAGTCAACTCACCCAAGATCTGATTCTAGGCTAGCTTTTACCTGATGACTTGGCAGTACACACACACACACACACACACACACACACACACACACACACACACACACACACACGTAAAAACCCAAGAAAAAAGTGGTAGGGAAGGGAAGAATATCCCTACTGTACATTTCTTCATCAGAATTGTAGAAGTTGAAAGTGGCTTACCTCATCTGAAATTTGACCTCCAAATGTCACCCATGTTCCTGGAAGAGAATAAATATTTGTGTATTATTTGTAGCCATTTTTCTAATATTGTACATAATAAGGGGAGACCTTTATATCAGAGCAGGTAGTTCACAAATGTGCCTAGATGTGGGCACATGCACACCCTGGTCTAGGTTTTCCCCCCTTCCTAATACTACAGAAATAGTCTTTGTCCCTTTGGGGAAGGGTACCTCTTAAAGCCACCATGGATGCTTGTGGCGTGCAGCATCTCCCTACATGAAACTTTGCTTCTGCAATAGGACCAGATACACAAGAAGTCAGTGCTATGGAGCTCAATTTGGCTGCACACCTATTTTTACTCTTCCACAGCTAAGAGGCCTATTCTGCCAGTGAGCACAAGAAAGTGTGGCAGCCAGCATGAGCTAGGCCTTTACTTAAGCTTCTGGCCTTCTTTGAAGACTTTGTTTTTAATTTTTTGTTACCTTTCAAGAGTACTTTCTCAGACATTCTGCCAGGCCCTGTTTACAAGAAAGACCTGAGTGGTGACGCTTAATGCACCTTCTCTGGGTGGCCTGCTCTGGGAAATTTCTGTTGATTTGAGGCGAATGTAGAGACAGGAGCCAGGGAAAGGACAAGGAAGGCAAAGGGAGGGAGGCATAACTGGCAACATGTGCAAAGCCAGACACTGAGGAGGTGCATGCTGTGAGTCCCAGAAGTGTCTTCTGTTAATCGCTTCCTTATGCATTCTTTTTTTTTAAATTTTATTTGAGCTATAAGTTGATCAGAGACATTGGCTTCATACACCAAGGATAGTGAGGTAAACGACACAGTTCCTGTCTTTAGCTCATAGTTGGCAGGATACTTTGATAAATACGCTCTGACTGAGGCAAACACAAGACAGTATAGCAAAGTACTCTGCCTAGGCTGGAGTGGAAAGCACTCATGGAGGACTTCATAGAGAACATGACACAGTGATTGCATGTTACAGGAGTAAAGGGAATGGAGAAGAAGGGGACAGGAATTTCAGACAAGAGGTTGGAAAAACAAGAAGGCAGAGGACGTGAGTGTGGCATCAGGTCCCGGGGTGAAACATGAGTCAAAGAAGGAGACCTGGGCAAGATTAGAAGCAGTTAGGACAGGGAAATGGTTAATATTTATAGGGCATGAAAGAAATGCTGTTGACAATTTATATACAGCATTTTACTGTAAGTCATAGCTACCACTAGGGCACACCTTCTAGATGTCAATAGTATACTAAGAGCTTTTTCTTGAATCATTTTACAGACTCAGAGGGCAACTTTATTTTCCATGTTAGAGCTGAGAAATCTCACATTAGCCAACACTAAGTGAGCTACCCAAGCTTCCACCAACATGCTTGGCTTTGAGAAGGCTGCCCACTTCAATGTATCACACTGATGAATTAGATTGTCTCTACGATAGTGTGCCATCCATAGACATATGTTGATATACTTTTTTCCTTGTTCTCAAAGACTAAAACAAAGGGAGTTTATGAATCATCTTATGAGTGTGCTTTCTATCTCTGGAGGTTGCAGATGGGCAGCCCACAGCTGACACTCAGCTTGCAGGCTCACTCTGTTTCACTAGAATGGAGTTGAACAACTTGGTATTTCAATAAATTTTGAATGAGTTACTGACATTTAAGTACTTAGGAAATTTTTCTGAAATCTTTGGATTTTCAGCAAATATTAACAACAAAAGGGCAATTCCTTTTCTAGGTAGGTATACCCCAAACTGAGATGGGGAGGGCACTTTTGTGAAAGACTGTGAGCTGCCACTCCACCCTGATTCCTGATGTATTCTTAACATAGAAATAAAACAGTTACTGCTTTGTACCATATGTTTATTGCCATTTGCCTTACAGCAAAATATAAGAGGAATGTGAACTTGTACATTTTAAAAACCAGAAGTGATTATTTTAAGAAAAAAAATAGGCATAGACATTTTCCCCCTATAAAATATTACAAAGAATTCTAACAGAGAAAAATCCCACTGTAAGCAACCAAAATAAAAGCAGTCATGACCTGCACACAGAAAAGATCCCCTCTGAAAAACTTATGGTATGAGGAAATGGTCCATGCTAGGTTTGAATGGGAATTAAGTGAGATTGCTGTGGAATGCAGCTCTGTATTAAGTGAAAATATTTGACTGGGTATCAAACCTTTTCACAGACATTTTATAAAAGAGTCCCTTTGAACATGGCAGAAATGAGCCCCAAGAAGAAACTGAGAATGTTAGTGGAACTGGCTCTGCATGGGAGGTTTACAGCTGAGAATACTTAGCACAAGTCAAATTACTGGAGCCATTTTCTATTGCAGCAAATGAGAAAGCAGATATGAGCGCATGCATTGGTGACTATTTCTGGTATAGTGAGGAACTTTGAAGGGGTCAAAGAACTTTTGGGTGGGGGCCCATGAAAGGAAAAACATGAGACATGGCTGTCTTGTGTGATGGGGAAAGTCTCAGATCTTTTATAAACTGAGTATAATCTGGTGGAAGTCACTGTTGCCACAGGTGGGTGGGGTTGCTGCTGGCCCTGTCAAGTTACAGACCAATGATGGCACTGTTATGTGGGATCACTATACCCGAGTCCCTTAATTTCCCCATTCATTAAAAAAATGGCTTTGGGCAAAGAGCTAAAATGGGACAAGCCACGGATTCAGTAATGAGTCCCACAAATTAGCTATTCTTCTATATCTTCAAGCAAAATCAGGTCAATGCTTAGTGACTTTGCTAGATGATTTGTGCTGTGCTGCAAAAGCACTTCTTTTATTTGTTTGTTTAATCGTTCATGTCATCAATGAGAATAGACCCATCTCTACGAAGTCTGGAAGATTTCCTGGAGTCTGAGCTGCTTCCTGATCTTACAAATCATCTGTGCTTGAATACTTCTCTAAGGGGACATTCACAAGAACGGATGCTCCTTAATTTACCAAGGGGCTGTGAACTAGGAAATCTAGCATGTGTTGAAAATACCAAGAGCCACGTACTTTATTCACCAAATACCTTAGTTTAACAAGGAGTGTAATGTATAGAACCAGCTGTTTCTTGCATGGTGGTTGGCTGGCCGGAGGTTCCCCCATCTGCTCTTGCTCAGCATTGTGACAGTATTTGATGCAAATTCTATCCCAGGAATGCAAAATATAGAGGTGGTGGAGTACTAGCCTAGCATGTACAAGGTTTCAATCCCTAACACCATAACAAAAATCAAAGTATAGTTTCTACCAATTGTATATTGCTGTTGTACCATCATAGGATTATAAATTAAAGAATCACAATGTCAAGACAATGTTAAGTCAAAAAGTGAAATTTGCCTAGATTATTATTTGCTCATCTCAGACCTCATAAAGCTTGGGGAAGTCACTTATTGAGGAATGATGATCCATTTTTAGATGAGAATTATAACCTAAAATTCTTTCTCCAAGGTTGTATTGTTAAAAATTAGATTGCCAAAATGTCTCTGATTTCAAGTTTTATATGTAATTATGCTTAATAGGAAATTATCCCAGCACTTTGAAGACTAATGATAGTTAAAAGACAATTCAGTTCAACTTAACCAACGTTGACTAGGTTTTCAAATAAACTAGCTTCATTTAGCTCACTTTTATTAATTATTTATTAATAGTACTGAGTAAAACTCCAAAAGCCAGAACTGTATGTACATCGCAGAGGAAGATAAGGGCATTTTACACTTAAAAACTGACAACGATTCTAGCCATGTTGGAATAGCACTAGTTTTAGGAGTGGCTCTATTAAAAAAAAAAAAAAAAAAAAAAAAAAAGAAAAAGAAAAAAGAAAAAAAACCCAAACCAAACCAAACAAATAAACAAACAACAACTCTTCCATGTCTCTTTTAAGAGCTTAACATTGTTAACATTGTGTTGTATACATCATAGTGAAAGTTGGACAGCCTGAAGGATATTTGCATACAGAAGAAGAAAAGATGTTAAGTCAAAGTTGGGATGAATTATGATGAGAAATAGTGAAAGTTAAATAATTTTCCTTTTATATTGGATTAAAAATATTAACATATAACAGCATGTGCATCGTATGTGTTTATGTTATTTCTATAATTTGAATATGGTTCGAGTGCCACCAATATTTCTTACATTGGGAGTTTGGCCTAGTGTTATTGGGAAGTGGTGGGAATTTGAGTGGTATAGCCTAGTAGGAGGTCGAAGGTCTTTGAGGGTAACCCCTTGGTAGCTGTCATGAGGGAGTTGTTATAAAAAGGAGCAAGTTTGGCCCTTCTATCACTTTTGTTCTTGTTTGAGATACAGTCACTTGCTTGTTCAGACATGCAGTCCTGTGCCACCACCTCCTGACCTCATACAGGTCAGGGAACAGGCTGCTGCTCTATGCCTCCCGTCACTCCCTACTCTCACTGATACTGGACTTGGCACCTTCAAAGCTTGGAGCTGAATGAATAGCCTGTGTCAGATATTTCACTTTAGTGATGGCAAGCTAATAAAACTACATAATACACCATAACTAAAAAAATAGTGCTTCCTGTTTTGGAAGTTAGCCATTATTACATTCGTCTAACTTTGTTCAAGGGGATCACCTCTCTGACACTTTACACATGCACTACTCTCCAAAGCTCCAGAATAAAAGTGGTAGGTAATGGGTCCATGTTTGTTAAGTCGAAGTGAACTGCCTTTTGACTATCATTAGTCTTCAAAGTAATGGGGTACTTTTCTATCAGGCATACTTTGATTTATTTTGATTTATTTATACTTTGATTTATTTATTTACTTTGATTTATTAAAGAATGAATAATGCTCATTAACAATTAATCAGTTATTTTGGTTTCTAGGTAGTTGAGATGTTTTCCACCATCTCTGGGTTTACCAACCATTTCCTCTACTAGAGAAGGGTGCTATGACAGTCCTTCCTCTGAATGCAAGGAGAGCAGGTGACACTGTGGGCAGATGCATCAGCTGTCACTGGAGGAAGAGATGTCACAGTCCTTCTTGCAGGAGGGGATGGGGCAACAGCTGTATAGTCAGGGATCATTGGT